AGGTTTTGGGATGTGAAGAGACTTTCAACCAGCATAACAAAATGTTTTTGATGGCAATCACACCTTACACCTGCAGTTCTCCATGATGGAAGTCCAGTGTTCTCCAGCTTTCGGCGCCTAGACTGTAGCTCCACACAGGAAGCTTGGCCTGGTTTCTCTCAAGATTTTTTAAATTCACTTCATCATTTGGTAAAGTTTTTTTCCTCGCCACTGCTGCCACTGGCTTGCTCGGATCGGGAATTGTGTAGCAGCGCATCGGTGGATTTACTCTTCAGTGTTTGAACTTTCAGCAGTAAAAATTAAAGCACAATGAACTGAACTAAACTGAACTTCAACTTGAAATCTGGACTTTACTAGAACTATGTTAAGCTGCTTTGACACAATCTACATTGTAAAACGCGCTACATAAATTTACATGAATTGAATTGAATCACCTTTTGGACCTTGTTTTTGATTTCCACAAATGTTCCATATTTTTTAAAAATCCAAAATCAAACCAAAAGTGCTTTAGGGGTCATAAATGTGTCGGTTTTGGGTAAGGGATTCATAAAGATAAACAAAACTAAAGTAAGTGAATTTTTGAATCCTTTATTCACATGGCTAAACAGCACCTATGCATTTCTGCAACACTTGCCTTCATCAAGGTGCTTTGGTCTTACGATTTTGTCGTTCCAGATTGTTTGTTTGACCTTCTTTACACATTCAATTATGTTCAGTTTTGCAAGTAGGAACCAATTTACTGCCACACATTTCAGAACACAGCTTTTGCACATTAAGTCCTATTTATTTACGTAATTATTTATAAAATATTTAAGGTAATGTAAAAGATTATTGTAAAACTGGATGTTTGTCTAAAGAAACCCATATTTCTAATTCAAATGAATAAAATCCTACATATTTAGGATCAAAGCTGATCATACATTGATTTTATAAATGAGTGCCCATGCCTTTTCTTATTTAAAAAAATGTAATTATAAATTAATACTATAAATTACAATAAATTAAACTCTTAACATAGGTATTCAGTTGAGGGTGAAACATGAGTGTCTTTTTGTCTGTCTAGAATAACACATCAAGTGTATTTTGATGGCATACGTCACATGGCCGCAGACTCTTCCATTGTATGTTTCCCACATAAGGAAGCTTTCAGATGGCTTTGATTCCTGTCTTTAAACCTGAGATGTGCACTACATAGCTTGCGCATTACAGAGCTGAGAACATGTCCTGGTCCAAATGACAGTGCGAGAAAAGCGGCAGCTTAATATTTAGACAGAAGTGAAGGGGAAGTCTTCGCCTGAAGGCATCATACAGGATATCATTTGCTGAGATAATCAGTGGTTCGCTGACAAAGCCTGGAGTTGATTTATGGTTCCTTCCCGCATCACTTGATACTTTGCTTTTGTTTGTGTGTCAGAAGGAAATATATAATAAATGCAAAGTAAGTTAGAATGGATAGACACATTTACAGTGTTATGAATGATTTCTTTTTAAAATGTATTTATCAGTACAGTTTTTTACATTTAGAAAAGCGTAACAACCTAAATGTTTTGGGACTGTGGGTGGAAACCGGTATAACCCAGAGAAACCCACGCGAGCACAGGGAGAAAATGTAAACTCTGCACAAAAATGCCAACTGACCCAGTTGGAACTCAGACCTTCTTGCTGTGACCTTATTGTCAATTCTAATAAAAAAATTGTATTGTAATATTATGTATATATGTGTATGTGTATATGTATATACAGTATGTGTCTGAAGTCTGTCCATAATCAGTTGTTGCCTCTATAAGTTTGTGATGCAATGAGTCAGTTTTCAAGTAAGCATTCAGAGCGTGCCCTCTGCTGGTGGTGTAGATGTGGCTCAGGTTGCGTGTGTGTGTGTGTGTGTGTGTGTGTGTGTGTGTGTGTGTGTGTGTGTGTGTGTGTGTGTGTGTGTGTGTGGCATTGTGAAGTCACTTTTCTTTGCCTCGTGCGCTCAGACCATAAGCACACCACAGTCATGCGTGGCAGCACAGCGATGCTTGCAGCTTTAAAAATGGAAAATCAGCATAAACAGCAATTTTCTTGTGTTTCCCAATAAGACCATTTTGAGTCTGTGGTTTTATAACTTGACCAGATCTACTGAGGCATACTGTACGGAAATACTTTTTCCTGTTTTAACAAGAAAGCTAAGTTTCAAGCTAATATATATGTATATGTTGGATGTTTGTGTTTATACATTTATATGAACTTAGAACTTGCACAGATTATAAGATATAACTTTGATTACTGAGTAGTCTGCTCTGCATCTATGAAATATGTTTTCAGTGTTTAGTTAATGCTGCAATATGAATCAGTTTTTGTGTGGTTTTAATTAGTCGTCCCATAACCGATGTTTATTCTAGTTTGTACTGAACAGTTGGAGCTCTGTGAATGTGATTTAATCACAGCTGGGAAAAATGAAAATGAAGAAACATTTCCAAGAAAATGGGCTATTTTTAGAATGGAAAAACCAATGTAGAACGTTTTTTGAATGGTAACCACAGATTTCCTATCACATGTTAAACTACTTCCCTAGTATGTGATGTGTTGTTAAAGGGATAGTTCACTCAAAAAGTTGTCAACATTTGTTGTTCATCTACCATACAGCCTGTGACTTTTTTGCCAGCAGAATCATTTTTAGCTGTAAACATTTTATCTGATAAGAAAAATGTGCATGAACTTTGATGGAAACACATTTCTAAAATAAATTTCAGCATGCACATAAGAAAGTCATGTAATTTTAGTTTAACAGATCATGTGATAACAAAAATGAGCCAAATGTGGATGACATTGTAAAACAAATCAGCAGACCAAGCAAATTGCACAATGTCTGAAATGTTATTTTAAACATTTTAAAATACTTAGCCATAGTCTGTCATCAAAGTGGTTCAGTGGTACCTGTCTTGAGTGGCTACGCTGCCAAAGCGTGGTCTCACACCTGAAAAATCCACTGCAAGTTCAGTGGGTTTCATCTTCTGAGGTGCAAATTATTTATTATGTAAGAAAAAAGGCCAGCAGTGGCTTCTCTTCTTCAAATTCAATTTTTCTTCTTGATATTTGATGCCAGTTCATCAGGAAATGGCGATTTTATTCTTTTTGTCTCATCAGATGGAAACAGTGCTTTATTTGCAGTTTTTAATGTAATTTTGCTATTTAATTCACATCTTTAAATGAAAACATAGCTAATTGCTACCAGCACTCTGAGAGTAAAGAGAAAACATAGTGTACAGTAAAAACCAAATGAATACTTGTGGCATAAAGCTAAATGTACTAGAAACGGATCATTATCACCTTTAAAGAGCTCCTATTATGCATTATAAAGGGTCATATTTTAGTTTTAGGGGTCTCCAACAACAGGCTGATATGCATGCAAGGTCAAAAAACTTTCATTGTCTTATAATATGCATTTATTTTTACCTAATTATCTCATTGACTCCTATATGATTCGTTCAGCGATTAATTTGTTCCTAACTCCCTCCTTAGCGCAATGCTAATCAGCGCTGATTGGTCCAATGACCCAGTCTGTTGTGATTGGTCGACTGCATTCAGCGGGAGACAGAAAGAAATGCCCACCACAGCTTTTCAACAATTTTGAAGTAGTCAGAGTGCAGAGTGTTTGTGTGAGCCCAATGTAGGAGTGCATTAAAGCAATGCAGTTGAACACCAGCATATTAACCAGAAGTAACACATTTAGTTTTAATCCACACAGTGGCAAAAGCTGAACTATTTTGAAATTTGACTGCCGCACATGTGTAAGAAAAGCAGACAGTGGCCATAGCAATGACAAATGGCAGTAGATCGTGAGCTCACAAATGCATTTAAATCTGTAAACAAAGCAGCATGCGTCACATTTTTAGCGTGTTTTAGACACAATATGAGAATATAAAGAGTTAACCTGATACAGAACAAGCGGGTCAGCGATTTATTTGTTCTCAAACCAAACAGCTGGACAGAGTGTCTGTGTGGGCCCAATGCAGGAGTGCATTAAAGCAAGGCAGTTAAACACCAGCATATTGCTCTATTCCTAACCATAAGTAAAAACAGTGGCACACATTCATTATTAATCCACACAGCGGCAAAAGCTGAACTATTTTGAAACTTGATCGCTGTGCGTGCGTAGGATTAGCTGACGATGGCCATAGCAACGACAAACAGCAGTGGATTGTGACCTCACAAACGCTTTTAAATCGTAAACAAAGCTGCACGTGTCACGTTTTCAACGTGGTTGTAAAGAGTTAACCAGATACAGTACAAGCGGTTGCGGCCGACGAATCCCCCATTGTAAGTGCGTAGATTGCTGAAGCACTTGTCAGAAAAATGACCGGAACACAGCACAAGGCTGGGGCGATAATGTTGAGGTATTTCTGTAAAAAAAAATTTAAATACTGACTCTTCACAGCCTCTTCACATCTTTGGGTAGGGAAAGTAACACTAACTTTCCCTCACACTTCAGAGCACAGCATCTATGTGATTTGATTCAACCGAGATCTGCTACAGTGTTTGTGGGTGGGGCCAGGGGTTTCAATTTTGCCAGGTTTGCACACACAGCAAATGTTCCATTTTGACATCACTCTGGCATGGCTAAAGACTCATTACCTCGATGATTCATTCAAACTACTTTGAGTCGACTCCTTTATAAATGAATCAATAGTTTTAAGCACTGTGCACTTTCAGGTTTAAGCCTTAGCTGGATATTTCACTTCACTTAGAGTTGTTACACACTACAAGGAAGGTCATTTTCAAAAATCCATAATATTGGCTCTCTAAGCAAATTGACTTTATAAAGGAACTATCAGGTATATACTATACAGGGCAAACCAAATAAATATCTGAGGCGTAAAGCTAAATGTACAAGGAACTGATCATTATTATCAGCTTTAAGTAAATCGACTGTATAGATGTACTAACCCTTTAATTGTATCAATTGCATTAATTGGTGATCTGTTCTTAAAGTATATTTTTCTGTCATTGTGTTTCCCCAGGTGGATTACGCTAAAGTTCTCCACTATGTTGGAGCAGGTGTGGCCTTTCCCACCAGTATGCTGTTTGTGTGCTTGCAGTCTGCACTGACCTACCGCCTGGCCAAGACTCAGGGAGAATATAACATGGGTCATTTGCGCCTCTTCATGACCCTGCTGGCCTTCGTAGCCTTGGTGCTTAGTATCCTTTTACGCTATTAGTCATTCTCATTTTATGTAGCTATGTTGTGTATTTGTATTAGGGCTGCCAATAAAATAGGCTGTCACATTGTTAGATTGTCACTATACAATTAAAGTTGAGGAGATCCAAGCCACCCCCGTATCAAGTGTTTGACCGTGCAGAAAAGTGCTTTATAAATGTAACAATTTATTAATATTTGATAATAAAGTGGCCAAGATACTTAAAAACGCCAATATGATTGAAGCATGCAAAAATATTTTGGGTAAGTGACATTCTCAGTCAATGTCAAATACAGAATTACCACTTAAGAAATTAGGAACACAATATAAAAATAATGAATAGTGGGTGCGATTTATGAATTCAGGTCCTACTGGAGCAGGCATGCAATTACTTACTTTGTTCCCTCATTTTAAGTAAATCGTGTACTCGATTTTTTAAATTAACTTACTTGATTTACTAAACATGTACATGGTAAAGTACGCTGTCAATGAACTAATTTAATATTTTGCATGACTGATTGGCCTAGAACAGTGGTTCCCAACCTTTTTTTTGCCTGAGACCCCCTTTTCCCCTGGAAACTATTGTAAGGCCCCCCTCCACATTTAATGATATTATCACTCATATAAGTTTGCAGTAAGAATGACAAAAATGTTGTTTTCAAACAAAAGGTATGTTTAATACTATATTTAGATATGTTTATGCACAAATAATAGCCTAATGTAAAATACTAAGCAAAACATCAGCAGGCCATTTGTAGCTGAAAAAACACAAGCCTTTCGCCTTTACATTTGCCCTATTTGAAATTCAATAACTAAAATATCAGTATTCACACTGGTGTATAAGGGAAAAATATTACAATTTAATACTTGCATGTTATTTGTTATGCTCTAACAATTAGTGTGATGATTGTTGCGCGGCGAATCAGTAAAACTTTGTCCTTTTTGTGGAGGACGGATTACAAATTTGTCCATTTTTGGTCAGCTAGGGCAGTGGTCCTTAACCCATTTATCACCACGCACTGGTCAACGATTGACAATTTTACCACGGACCGGGGGGAGGGGTGTGTTTTGTAGGTTGTAGGTTGCTAGGCAACCATCAACCATTTTCTCAGAAAATGACAAGTTGACAAAACATTGCTGTCACTCTGATACAAGTTTTATTTATGGAGAACATCACAAAACACTGCAGTGTTTGTGTGTTCTGTGTTTGTCTGAGAAAATTAGTCTTATCGAAATGTGAATATTCCATACAAGCTGAAGCTGATTGGTTAAATCTTGTCAATTCTTGACTCGTGGTGCGCTCACGGGATTCATAAGAGTGAGCCACTTGTGCGCGTAAGCCGCACACCTTCATTGGAAATGACAAACTTGTGCAAACTGTAGAAATAGGCAATATGCGAACAGCCCCTAAAAGGCCGTCGTCATTTGCGATCTCTATTAGTTGATTTTCTTGCACAGCCATGGTGCATTTACCTGATTTTTTGGCAAATGGGTTGTGAATTCATTCTTTGGCAGTTCGTGGGTCCTTCACTGGGCCCCCCTAGAAAAGAAACTTTCTAAAGACATCTGTTTTTTTTTGCTGCTAGTCGGTTAAATGTGGGTGCTCAAGTGACCAAGATGTAAGCGAGACAATACGGTCATTTTTCAAAATAAAAGATTGTTCAGACTCAGATAATTAATAAAAAGGAAAAGATTAACGATTTCTTGTACAGATTTTACCATTTGATCCACGAACTGGTACCAGTCTGCGGCCCGGTGGTTGAGGACTACTGAGCTAGGGGATAAAATGAAATAAGGCAACATGATCATTCTCCTAATTGTTCACTTCTAAGAAACTTTTACCAGCGACCTTCTTGCTGCGAGGCGATCATGCTACCCACTGCGCCATCGTGACATCTGGCAACTTTAATAATAATTCTAATGTAAATTGTTTCAAATATCATTCACTGATTCAAGATTTTTTAGTTATATCCTAATTACAAGTCTGCAAAGTAAAATAATTAAACATGTTTACTCCATTGATGTTGCAATAAGAAGTTTTATTTAAAATTACATTCATAACAAAGCAATTTTTCTTATTAAAAATAATATTCACATATAAATAATTTTGTAATTAAATTTGTGTTTCTTGATTGCCTAACTTTATTTTAACCAAAAGTCGAAGTCAGTTATAGCATTAAAAAGTAAATGCATTAACATAAATTGATAATGCATGAATTTAGCAGTTCTAATCTGTATGTTATTTTGCCATGTGGTCAGCTCACACATTCCCAGATTGTTTAAATTTCCCCAATATGCTTTTCTTTCTCAGTAACTGAGTTCCTGCATGTTCATCCTGTAATGTAAACAGGCCTGAGCATGACTTTACAGTATTCACTATGATTCCTTGACGAACATTTCCTCAGGTGGGGTGTTTTTTGTCCAGGAGAGTTTTATCCTGCAACATGCTTCAGCCATTTTCGAGTGGGTCTTCTGTGTCATTATTATGCTATTCTATGGCACATTCGCTTTTGAATTCGCCGGGATATCTAGTGACACGATGATGGTGCTGGCCCGAGGACAATCTTTACCCTCCGTAAGCCGAGACCACAAAATGGAGTCTCTAAGTGGAGCCAATCAGCACCAACCAGAGAGTCTGTCCATATTATAACCCCAAGCTCTTTTAACACTAGAAGAAAAACACTTCAACCGCAGAGGGAAAGTAACAGAAACTGGTGTACCTTTGCCAAAGAATCCAGCTCTGATTTTGCACATTTTGGAGAGACTTCTTTACTCTCTGGGGACCTTTTGAATCTAACATCTTCCATGCTGGGAAAAACAAAAGTCATCGCCTGGATGTGTCTCTTAGAAGTCATTGGGATTTCGAAGTGAATAAATTAAGAACTACTAGTTGGCTAAACTTTCTGGTGAAACCAGAGGAATGCTACATCAGTTGCTTAATAAAAACCCCAACACTAAAGCATTCTAACATGGTGCCTTAACAAACGTTATAGTGCCAATTTCAGACCTTTCAAGACAATGAATCCAAAAATGCTGTTTTCTGTGCCTTTGTTTTTTTTGTTTTTTTTTGTCCAAAGGTAGAAATGGTTAAATCTTATAATGTTTTGTCTGTCCGTCTGTTAACTGATCAAAGTGTTTCATTTTGCCTTAATCACCATATGCTGTCTGAAATGTCTTGTTCAGGAGATTGTCATTACCATTGTGCCTTAAACCAAAAGCCAAATACAGCTATTTAATAGACATATACTGTACGTCCATAGTCTAAATCTGAAAACTGCCTTGAATATACAAGGCATGTATATTTTCATATGCATTGTAAAGAGCAAAGCTGAACGAGATCAGCAAAAACCTCTCGCGAAACAGGCGAATAAGCTTATTATCACGTTAAGTCGCCTGTAATTGGTGCCATTCCAGAAGTCATGTTAGAGGCAATGAATATTGCTGTACATAGTGACCAAATGTAACTAAGAAAAGAGATAGTTTGTCCTGAGGTCATTGTGATTGTTCCCTCTTTCTGTCAATGTGGGAACTGTCATGTGTTGTGTTTTGGTTGGTTACAAGGAAGCGTAGCTATGAAAGTTGCCCTCTTAGAGAGTGGCTAGTTTATGTGTTCACACAAAAGGTCTTTGTGGGCTGTTTTTTGCAGACAAAATGACATGCAGCAGGACTGCTAGTTCATAACTGTTTTTGTTTGTTTTAAAAATAAGAGATGAATCTTGGTTTACAGCGGTCTTATGTTTTCATACTAACAACATGACAAACAAAATTTTTTTTTCAATCATTATCATGGGAGTTTAGTCATTTCATTTATCAGGATAAGAGCCATATTGATGCTTATCACCATCTGATCTACCAGTGCCATCCTGAAAATATCTTACATTCTCTGTGCTCAGGAAGATCTGTTTCTTTCTTTCATAAAACTTATTTCCATGCTCATGACTGTGTTGATCACCCACACTTAATGGGTTCAACCAAAAATTACAGTTCTGATATTAATTACACACCCTCGTGTCCTTTCAATCTCCTGAGACAATTATTAATCCTTGTAACACAAATTAAGCAGCCTGATCTTACAAGAAAATGTAAGTATTTTACGTTTTGTCAGTTTTGTGGCTAATTCATACGAATTTGTACAAGTTCAGTCGTATGAAAATGTACGATTTAAAAAACCCAACCCCACCCTTAAACCCCACTGTCATTGGATGATGAGAAAATCATACTAAATTGTACGAATTAGATCTTACGAATTTATACGAATTAGCCACTAAATCAAAAAGTTACAAATTGCCATGAGATTGCGTTGAACTGACATATTTTAGATATAATTCGAGAACCCTCTCATCCTCCATAGAATGCAATGGCCCAGAAAAGAAACAAAGAACATTGTCAAAATTGTGTTCAAGAGTTCACTCTTAGATATAGCTTGATAATGTTAGCAGGTTTGGCTTGCTGTTCTGGAAGAGAACCCTGAGCTTGGAGATAAGTGAGTTCAAGGCTTCCGCCAGGTCAGTGAGCATGTAAGTGTGTACGAGATCAGGTCCTCCTTGATTATCAAGGGGCAGCCCAAGAGGAATAGGCCACACCACACCAGCACATACCCAAGCGATGAAAGCTCAGTACTAAAGTACTCATATACTGTTCCTATTGGTTTATTTAATTATCTTATGTCACATGTCTTTGGACTGTGAGAGGAAACTGTAGTAACCGGGGGGAGACCCATGCGAACTCGGGGAGATCATGTAAACTCCGCACAGACATGCCAACTGGCCCAGCCGGAACTCGAACCAGTGACCTTCTTGCTGTAAGGCAACAGTGCTAGCCACTGAGCCACCATGCCACCCAATCCTGGATTAATCTATTAAAGCAGAGGGAGATTGGGGAATAGTTTTTTTTTTTTCTTTCAAAAAATGAAGATATGGGATTAAAGTTAGACGGGGCATTTATATTAAGTGTGGAATGATCCGATCGGCTTGCTAATGATCACAGATGGGGGACCAACCTCGATCAATCATATCTTGTGATACTCTCAAAATTAGTTTGTGAACTTTACTTTTAGCGCACAAAATTGTTCAGAGAAGAAAGCTCTCTGATCTCATCTAAAATCACTTATTTGGGTTCCAAAGATAACTGAAGGTATCAGGGTACTGGAATGATACGAGGTTGACTAATTAACAACAGAATTTGCATTTTTGGGTGAACTAATGCTTTGGGTTTTATCTTCTTAAAGTAACTTAAATACTATCTTGAAAAAAACCCATATTTTTTTTTTTTTTTGTCATTTAAACCAATCTTTCATGTACTTCTAAAATATTCTTAATATTGCTTGAAGAAACAGTTTATTTATAAATAAAAACAAATCACTGTTCACCCTCATGTTGTTTCAAAACTAAATGCTATTTTTTCCCCTGTGGATATAAAATGGACAAATGTAAAGATTTGGCAGCTCAATTGTGCACACGACAGTTCTACAATTGTAGTGACTATAATATAAAATAGCTCATAAGAATCGTTTGGCATATTATCAGCACAATTGCTATGGATGAAATACAGATGAACCTTTTCCATTGGCTGAATTCATCAAATCTAATTTCCATCGCGTTTAGCTTTAAGTACCGCAGAATAAATTGTGATTTTCCTCTAAATAATTAAGTTTCATTGTCTTCTTTTTTAAATCAAGTATTTAAAAAAAAAATTGAACGTAACGTGCTGTGCTACAGCAATGTATGTGTTTTTGGAGCTTATTGTAAAACACTTTGGCCAGATAAATGAAAGCAAACCAGTTTTGGTGATTAAACCCTATAGTCCAGATTTACTAAAGGAATAAAATAAAAGCAATAATGAGGAAAGGATACTTTTTTATTAATGACTTTATTACATTTGCAGGAGTTTCCTTTTTTAGATGCAATTTTTGGAGTATTTAAATTAATTATGCAATGTGAAATAAGGATTTAGTCAGTTCTCTTGCATTTGCATCATTTAGCACCCCCAAAAATGGTTGCAAACCTTAATGAGTTTTTATTGTTGGTTGTTGAACACAAAAGACATTTTGAAGAATGTTGGAAACTGGATATCGATAGTAGAAAATGCTGCTAAAAATAGTTATTAAAAATTCCTAATCAAAATATCTCATTTTGTGTTCAGCAGTAAAGAAACTCTTTCAGATTTGTAATTTTCAGTATTTCTTTAAAGTGTAGTTTTTTGAGTTCATTTTCCCTGTCACCTTTTGCCTAGACTGGTGTTCCTACATATATTATCTACTAGTTTGCTTAAACCTGGGCTTTTGACAGTCAATAGCTGTAAACCTGCTGCAAACCTGCTGACATTCAACAAGACTCACCTCTTTAATGTCATAGCAGAAAGCAAAAATACCTTCATGTGCCTTTGTTTCAACCAAAGACTGAGTCAATGATTGGAGAAATGTTTTGATTGGCAGGATGTGTTTGATTGTGCTGTAAATTTGCCTTAAAATGTATGGAAATAAAGCAGAATCAAACTCATCACACCGTGTGCACTGAACTTTGCTTAAGTCAAGTCATGTTGACTTGTCACACAGCTCCTGCTTCTCACCATGGACTTTGAGATTACTCAAATTCATTGAATCTGTTTATTCTTCTTTGACTCATCAGGCGTTTCTTAACTATTGGTGACCTGTTACAAAATTTAGTACATGTTTTTTAAATTCATTGTAATGTGCAATTTAACAGAATGATTGTTTGTCATACAGGTATAGTCAAATTTATTAGGCCCCTTCAATTTTTTTTTTTTCTTTTTTAAATATTACCCAAATGATGTTTAACAGAGCAAGGACATTTTCACAGTATGTCTGATGATATATTCTGTTCTGGAGAAAGTCTTATTTGTTTTATTACGACTAGAATAATAGCAGTTTTTAATTTTTTAAGAATCATTTTAAGATCAAAATTATTAGCCCTTTAAGCTATGTAATTTTTCAATAGTCTACAGAACAAACCATCGTTATACAATTACTTGCCTAATTACTCTAACCTACATAGTTAACCTAATTAACCTAGTTAAGCCTTTGAATGTCACTTTAAGCTGTATAGAAGTGTCTTGAAAAATATCTATAGTCAAACAATATTTACTATCATGGCAAATATAAAAGAAATCAGTTATTACAAATGAGTTATTAAAACTATTATGTTTATAAATATGTTGGGAATATGTTCTCGCAGTTAAACAAAAATTGGGGTAAAAAAAAAATAACAACAGGGGGGCTAATAATTCAGACCTCAACTGTATACCAACAACTGAGTTGTATTTGTGTCTAAAGACATCCATACTGACACCGGACAAGTATAAAGAATTTTCCACACTTTAATTATTCACAATTATTTACATCTTAAATTCAATCTTAAAGAAAAAAAGTTGAAAATCTGAAAGAAGTATAGGATGGTTTACAGTGTTTTTGAAGAATTAATACCGATGTTTAACCTACAGAAGTCAACAAATGCAATTACACAGTGGCTTCCATGCACACATAAAATGCGCAACTAAAGCTTTTTTAAAAACCGAAGTACATTCACACATACATACATACATGCTCACTCTCCAGTGGTGAAAATTAATATAAGAACAGAACAGGATCTGTATGTACACAACAATATTCTCATAATAACATACCTCTTTCATTATCCAACATTAATGAGATGATACAGTAAAAACGAGGCATAAACAAGTAATGTTTGTGCAAGAAATAGGCACACAAATTAGACCCTTTTAAGACTGTATGATGAGAGGAATATGGTTCTTAGATAGAACCTAAAAAACCTAAAGCTTCAGTGGTCCACAATATCATGTGTATGTCTCCTCAAAACACACTCACAAATTATAAAGTCGCCTATAGGCATAGTAAACTTTTTTAAAAGCTGAAATGTGTTTCTGAGCCGCCATTGTCACCCAAAATATTGCAAATTATTTTTGCACTTTCCCCAAATACTTTTAGGCCTGCTCCATCTAGCAATGATACGAAAGCCCGCCAAAAACTTGCGCCAAGTCCAACCAGTGTAGCTGCTGTGACAGTAATTTTTTGAAAGCCCCACATAGTCACAATACTTAGCCTACAGGTAAGCAGGTAACCTTAGCAGGTAAGTAAATTATAAAATCATTAGGCCTACATTAAAATTGTCTCTATATGCTTATCTAGCATAGGACAATGAGAATTAAAAAAAATGCTTTTGCTTTAAGGAATGATCGCTCGTCATGCGTGTTGAGGGATCGTGCAGGTTTCTAAATAAAAGACTGATTCCAATTTCTTAACATTTACAGTATATCCATCTAATCTATTATTTTGTGTATGCGAAAAGAGAACAAAGGGGTAGAGGAGCACTGAAGTGGCTGAATGACTGAAGGTAGGGCTCGCACCTCCTCTCGCTTTAAACCTTGAGGGTTTTGGCCATCTCCCAGGGGAACTCTGACCTCCCGAAATGACCATAGCAGGCGGTGTTCTGGTAGAATGGCCTCTTCAGGTTCAGATCCCTGTCAGGGGAAAGTGAGTTAGTTTTCACTTTACAGCCTGGTTCTTGAACTAAAATGAGCATAATTTAGTAAACTGTCACTATATGTAGTAATTACATGAATGTACAATTGCATAAGGAATTGAAATTGTTTAAAACACAAGACGCTTATTACAATGTAGTACCGTTAGGTCTAGTAGGACTACATTGATGGTAGTGGAACGCCCCCTGGAGGAGATATTGGGGCCTGTTAAGAGTAAGGTTTAATTTTATTATTATTATTATATGATGTTATGACTTTATAACGTGTCGTGTTAGCAGATTAAACAACGCATATTATAAAACCATATTAAAAAGTAATGTACTCTAAATTCTTTAGATTGTGTGAGAATGCTAAAACTACTAATGCTAAAGGATTTTTCAGGTGATTATTGGGGATTTATATTGAATATAACGCAACATAAATCTTTTTTTTTATTACTTAATACATAAGTTGGTTTCATTTTACACTTTTAACATCTGGATCATTGACTGATTTTTTTTTTCATCCTTTTTAATTTTTGGTTTTAGATTAATCAATGTTGTGACATCACATGTCCCTGATTAGTCATAAACAAACAAAAACATTTTCCTGAATTTGGAGAACATTAAAAGAACATATTATCTTATTAATTGATTACCTAACAATGACACCTGGTCGGAGGTCAAAGTTCTTGTTGACAATATGTAGCAACTCCTTCTCTGTTTTTTCCGATGAGCCGTAGGTGAAGAGGGAGATTGAGAGTGGGTGGGCGACTCCAATGGCGTAAGACACCTACACAGCAAATATATTATTCGTGACCCTTACCAGAAACCAGCTCACCCATTCCAGTTTAACCAAGTCAGATAAAATTGGACAGTAATTTGGTGTGTTGCTTGAATCAACATTTTTGTCCAGACACAAGGCAATGGCTCAAAATTATTTTGTCTCACCTGAACCAGCACTCTTCTGCACAGTTTGGACTTCACCAGAGACTTCGCTACCCAGCGAGCAGCATAGGCAGCAGAACGATCCACCTTAGTGTAGTCCTTTCCAGAGAAGGCGCCACCACCATGAGCTCCCCATCCACCATATGTGTCCACAATAATCTTCCTTCCTGTAACACCAGCATCTCCCTGGAAAAAAGAGATTATTTTACTCTTTAAATCAATGGTTTCCAACAATACTGGTAAACTGCAATCTTTTTGCAGTTCTGAGTTAAATATTTCCAACCAGCTGTTAAATATGTTCCGCTGATGTAAATATGCAGTGGCATTTAATAAAAAAAAAAGTGGACTAGATTGAAACGTCCAAAGGAAACTTACAACTTCCAATCACTATGCACAAGCATGAATAAAATAAATGATTAATTCTGTGAAATTTTAAAAGGATGAATTAATTTATTTTGCAAACCTCCTGCCCTAGTCCCTAAATCTGTTCCCTGAGGTCCAAAGTCCTACTGGGTTCAATTTCAACAGTTTTAAACACCCGAACAATCTAATCAAGTTCTTCATTCATTCATCTTCTTTTCGGCTTAGTCTCGTTATTAATCTGGGGTCACCCCAGCTGAATGAACCACCAACTTTTCCAGTATATGTTTTATGCAGTGGATGCAGTTACTAGCTGCAACCCATCTCTTTGATAAACATCAATACACATTCATTCGCTACGGACAATTTAGCCTACCCAATTCACCTGTGTCGCACGTCTTTGGACTTTGGGGTAAACCGGAGCACCCAGAGGAAACCCACGCAAACGCAGGGAGAACATGCAAACTCCACACAGAAACGCCAACTTAGTTGGCGGTTCATTCTGCTGTGGCGACCCCAGATTAATAAAGGGACCAAGCCGAAAAGAAAATAAATAAATGAATTAAACTTGCCGGTTCATTTCGTTGTGGCGACTTCCAGATTAATAAAGGGACTAAGCCAAAACAAAAAATATTGAATAATTGAATGAAAAGCACGGTTGTCTCACAGCAAGATGGTGACTATTGAAAGTCCCTGCTGGACCAGAAGGCTTTTCTGTGTGCAGTTTGCTGTGTCTTGTCTGGGATTTTTCCAGGTGCTCTGGTTTCCCCCACACTCTAAAGGCATTCAGTATCGGTTATTTGGATAAACAAAATTGACTATAATGAATTTATGAATAGAAGATTTTTTGTGTATGTGTTTCCCAGCACTGAGGGTTTCATTTTCAGTGCTGAGTTGCGGCAGAAAGAGTATTTGCCACTAAAACATACGTCAGAGAAATTGTCGCTGTGGTGACCCCTGATAAAGCAGGGAATAAGCCAAAGGAAAGCAAGTGAGTAAATAAATTGCACTGTTCATCCCACTAGTGTGCTTTAATGTTCAACCAGGAAATTGGTACAAAATGGCATAAAGTCACACTTTTTTCTGGTGCTGCTAGTCAAAAATTACTGGCCTACAAAACATTTGCTTATGAACTTCACATTATGTTCTCTTCCAATAACGGTATGATTGTTTTTGTGTTTATTTGTAGAACTGATTAATTTTAGCCGATAATAGCGCTTGATCTGAACTTACATTGCTCAAAAATGACCATTGTCAAAAGTTTTGAGACATCTGCCTGTACATGCACATCCTAATATATAGGTTTATATAATATACAGGTTCAAATATAGAGTGTATAGGAGTGTGTTTATTGGACTGCATATGACACTTTTCATTTTACTTGGTGATGCAAGGCTTGGAGGCAGCTGCTTGGCCATGGAAACCCATTCCATGATGCTCTCTGTGCACTTTTCTTGATTTAATCTGAAGGACACATTCGGTTTGGAGGTCAGTAGCTATTGAATCTGAAGAAAGCAGCCTATCATGCACTAATCATGTTTTCTAAATTGCTTTGGCTTTGTTATAATATAAAGGGTTGACTGTGAAATACTTACTGCTGAGGAAATTTCACCAGTGGACATTGCCATGGAAGTTATTGAAACACCTGAATTCACTGAACTGAATTTGTATTTTATAGCGGTTGAGTCTACATGGGT